TTGCTTGGACCCAAAATATAAAATGGATTAAATTGTAGTCAACATGACAGTAAATACAGTTGCTTTGCTCCAAAACAGACATGGGGAGAAAAGTTTAAAATGAAAAATTTAAAGTTATCAATGAAAGTCTTGAGAACAAGTAACCAGTGTCAGTTATGGAATTATTATTTTTGCTTGGTGTTGCCTCAGCAGATGAGGACCAAGTTTCCTTTATGCCGAGAATGTATTAAAATTCCCTGAAATGGCTCCAACTCCTCTAGTGGAGCCAATACCCCTTCCTGTTTCATCACTCACAGGATCATTAAGTCCTTTGTTAAAGCCTTTTGCTCTTCATTTCTTGAAGACGGAGGTGCCCGAGCCCTGGGATAAATAATTTTGAACAAAAATGCCGGCTTATTTTTTCCTGCATTTCCCTTTACTACTGCAGGGGATTTGACAGTGGAGAAATCGATGGGCACAGTGGAAACATGGCAGCAAATTAGGATTACCTATTGACATAGTAAGTGTTCTATTGCTGTAAAGAGACACCATGCTAATGACAACTCTTACAAAGAAAAGCATTTGATTGGGACTTGTTTACAGTTTCAGAGGCTTAGTTCATTGTCATCGTGGCGAGAACCATGGCATGAAACAGGCAGGCATGGTGCTGGTGAAGTCTCAAAGCCCATCCCCCTGTGACACAATTCCTCCAACAATGCCACACATCTTAACCTTTTAAAATAGTGCCATTCCCTGGGGAGTAAACATTAAAACCTATGAGTGTATGGGGGCCTTTCTCATTCAAGCCAACACACTTATGTATAGATTCTTCAATTATCAATCTTTTGTTACAAGTTTTAAGATAACTTTCCGTTACAGATTTTTAAACCATACCCAGGGACTTTACAAATCCTGAGATGAAAAGAGTTTACAAAATAGTCTTATAACAAGCTGGAGAGACCTACAGAAACAGCCGAACTGAACAAGGGGGAGCTCATGGACCCCAGACTGATGTCTGGGAAACCAGCACAGGACTGTTCCAGACCCTCTGAACATGGGTGTCAGTTTGGATGTCTCAGAAATTTATGGGACCTCTGGTTGGGGATCAATATTTATTTCTAGTATATGAATGGACTTTGGGAGCCCATTCCACATGGAGGGATAATCTCTCATCTTAGACACAGGGGGGATGGTCAAGACCCTGCTCCAAATGATATGACAGACATTGAAGGTCCCCCATGGAAGGCCTCACCCTTTCTGGGGAGCAGAAAGGGGATGGGATAGGGGGTTGGTGGCGAGCATGGGAGGAGGGAAGGGAAAGGGAACTCTGATTCTGTGAGAGCAAACCTAAAACAATCTTGTTTCTAATTTAAATAAAAAATAGTGTTACAAATCTTGAGATAAATTTTACACTTTAGCGGAAGTTTTAGAGAGATGAGATGAGGGATGGTTATTTAGAGAGTTAAATAAACCCAAGAAGAGAAACAGGAGATAAGCACTAGTCATCCTTACTGGGACAAGCTTATTTGTTTTTTAGCTGCCTTCAATCATATAGTGCTTTTTCCTGGGCTGTTTAGCTTTCCTCTTCCTGTCACAGTCAGGTGGCTTACCTGTCCCAAGAAAAAGATTATGGAGGAAGCTTTTAAAAAAGAATCCTCAAGTCGGTAGGAGGAGAGTCATAACCCAATTTCAGAGCCGTATTTTTTTTATGTGAAACTGAGTTCAGCCATTGAGGGGGGAGCATCAAGGAAGGCAAAGAAGGCTCAGAGATAAGAGATTCTTGAGAGTGGAGAGCAGAGAAAATTTAGAGATAAGAGACTTTTTGAATCATTTGTTTGTTCAGTGGCAGAAGTCATTACAATCTGCAAGAATTTGGAAGTCAAGTGTAGCATCTTTGGCCATTGACTGAGCTGTATTGAGGCTAAGTCATTTGCAATAAGACATAGTGAAACAGGTCAATTCAAAGAGAAATAGCTTAGAGAAGGAGGGGAAAGGTCACAAACAGGAACTTAGCTAGTGGGAAGATTCCAATACACTCCAGAAGGAAACTGGGAGCATGTGGGGAGGGAGATCGAGGATGGAAGAGAGAAAGGTAAGTGTCCTGGTGATGGAATTTCAATCCAGGTCATCCTCCAAGTGGAATAAGAGACTCATCAGAGAGAACCGTCCCGAATCACAATGGAAGCAAACCCCTTTCCATGTGATAGCCGCCAAATATGGCAAGAGAAGCTGCCTGGCTCACCAGTGTAACTTTATGAGAGTTAGGTAAGAGGAAGGAGTAGTAGTAGGCTCCAGAAGCCAACAGAGATAAAGTAGGGAACTGTGAGATGACACTTAACCCAAGTACCAGGAGAGAGCAGTAGAAGGAAGAAATAGCTGAAGAGGTGAACTCTGTAGGCAGATATGGTTGGTGGCAGAAGCCAGAAGAAACAAATAATCCATACCTTAGCAGAGTCAAGTCAGTGGTTTGGCTCAGTTAGGGGAAGCTGGGCCCCTTGGAAATGGGTGCAAAAGTCATCCTGGCTTTTGACACCAGATGTATAAACTGTTGACATGAGGGTTCCATGATGTGGGGTACGGGGCGGGGATGTTTTATTGGAGATA